GTTAACTGTAAAATCAAGGAAAACTATGCTGTAATCCATAGATCAGGAGAGAACAAGGAAGGTTCAAGGAGGCATGGCTTGGATTGCCCTGTAAAGAGGAAAAAGAAGCGATTTTGTGAGTGGACTGAGGTCAGCTGAGAATGGGAACATGAGCAATCAGGTTGAGGGGGTTAAGGGGAGAGTACTAGAAGTGGGGTGGCATTTCAGGATCAGGTAAAACTTGGCATAAAAGATTATCTCAGAATCTACAATAATGGCCCTGTCTTAACTGGCCATCTCTGTGACCAGATGTGCCTAGCCCAGTTTTCATCAGAGGCTTCTTCTAGTGGCTGATGGAAACCCACAGATGCAGACCCACAGCCAAACATTAGGCTGAGCTCAGTGAATCCTGCAGAAGAGGGGGAGAAAGATTGTTGGAGCCAGAGGGGTCAAGGATACCACAAGAAAACTCACAACATCAACTAACCTGTGCTCATAGTAGCTTACAGAGACTGAACTGACAACTAGGGCACCTGCATGGGACTGACCTAGGCACTCTATCTATGTTACAGTTGTAGTTTGGTCCTCTTGTGGGACTCCTAACAGTGGGAACAGGGGCTGTCTCTGACTCTTTTATTGGCCGTTGGGACCTACTCTTCATACTGGGTTGCCTTGCTCAGCCTTAATACATGGGGAGGGGCTTACTCATAATGCAATTTGATATGTCATAGTTTGTTGATATTCATGGGACACCTGCCCTTTCCTAAACAGAATCAGAGGATTGGAGTGGGGGATGGGAAAAGTAGGCTGGGAGGAGTGGAGAGGAGAAGCTGGGAGAAAAGCAGTGAGGGGAAACTGCAGCTGGTCTGTAAAATTAATAGATAAATTTATAAAAAATAGGAGTTTTAGCTAATTCAACTAAGTGCTAGAGCCAGAACTCTGCTATGGAAGCTCCTTCTATCTCCAATTGGTTTCTGACCCTTTGACTGTTCTGGGGATGGCCAGGCATCCTTCTTTCCATGCGAATTTTCTTCCTAAGCTGTTTAGTAGAGTTAATAATGGTCCTGGATCATTATTACTAAATGGCTTAGTTTCCACCCTTAGCCACTTGCAAGGCTACTGAAAAACAAAACACTTTTCATTCATTATTTCCATGCTCAAGGATTCAAGTGATTCTGCTTTTAGTTCCCTCACAGTTTGGAGAGTGCCACAACAAACCAGAACAGAATTGCTTCTGCCAAGTTGCAGTTAAAAGAAATTGTATAAATGAATTTTCCTCACCAAAATTTTTATTAGGGTCCATGTAATAGCATACTATCTCTTCTCAAAATGCAAAGGGAATTGTTAAAAAAATAAAATTTAGGCTGATTTTTTCTTTTTTTTTAAAGCTATCTGGCTGATTATCAGTTGTAATTATGGATCAGCAATTTTTTTCTTTACTATGTAATGACATGAAATAAAAGTCTTTTACAGGGATAATGAAGCCCATAGAAAATGTAAATGAGAAGAAAACAGAAACAATCCATATTCCTTCACCTGTTGAGGATACCCTTAAAAGTTAACTGTGTTAAAGGCAATTAAAAAAACCAACTAAGTGAGAAGTGATGGTGTCTTTTGTTATAATTTCTTGCATTGTAGGAGACACAAAAATGTCTTTCTTACCTCTTTCAATTTCAATACATTTAATAATACTAGATGCCAGTTAATGTGGTGGTACTGAAACCCCATGGCCTTGTATTCGAGAGGGCAAGATAGAGTTTTTGTGAGTAAAGATACAAAGCATGGAGCGTGTCTGCTTGGGCTGTGTATAGTAGAGAATAATCAAGATGAGATGAGAAGTATCTTTCTTATAAGAATTGTACAAGAAAGCAGTACTGAGAAGAGATCCTGAATCAAAACATCTGTTTCTCAGGTAGATGCATCACCAGCTATTATGCCCTGATATGTAAAGACCTGGTGGGTTTTCAGAAGAGCAAGCGGACATGTGAGGCTGGAGGAGAGTTGGAGGTAGAGACAGCTTGGCAATGTAATTAGAAAGATAGCAGGACTTAGGGGCCCACCACCAGTACTGTGGCTTCTCTTACTGGGGCAATCATCCCCTGATAGAATTGGGATTAGAGCAAGGGCCCAGCTTTGCTTCTGTCTCTGGCTGTAGTATTTGAGTTTATGCTTCAATAGGTAATGCAGGAAGGAAAAATAAAGACTCAGAATGCAGAGAAATGGGAATAACAGACACGCTGAGTAAAAAGTGTTGGTAAAAAAAATAGATTGTATAGAGAACATACATTTTTCCCCTTTACTAAAGTTGGCGTAGATGTACATTCTGGGTGGAGAACTCATTTTCTTGGTAAATGACCTCCAAGGCTACAGTCAAACACCTTGCATTTCAAGGAAAAAGGTGGACAACTGTGTAGAATTAAGGGGGAACCTGAAGAAAACAAAGCAAATAGATGAATAAAACTAAACTATACTTTTGTCAATTGCTACAGGCAGAAACAGAATCCCCAAACTTAAACTCTTAATTTAATTGCATGATAGCCAAAAATAATACAATATTTTCTCATTTAAAGCAATTTTGTTTCCAGACAATTTTTGAAATTTCTCTCCGAAGAGGTGGGGAGCATTTGCTCTCAAGATACAAACCTAGGATACAAGTCAATAGGCTCTTTGTTGTTAGTGGTGACAGTATCCACCCCCTCTCTGAGTCAATTAGTCATGAGGTTTGGCCTGCTAAGCAAAAGGTCAGAAGGGAACAGAGTTTTAACAAGGAAATTAAAATGGAAGAGTTCAGTGTTGGCAAATTATTAACTCTTTTTTAAAATCTTATATGTTAACTGATCAGGTGATTAGGCATCTAATAATTTACAATGCCACAAAATGAGTGTGATGAATTCTTTTGTTTACAAATTCTTGCTAAAATGAAAGCAAAACTATTCATTTAGAAGAATAGGAACTTTATATTCTGAAAAGTTAAACTCAGGATGTATCCCTGTCACATAAAATATGTATATAAATTTAGTTGTAGTTTATTCCAGATGGTTAATTAGAGATAGTATTTGCTTTGTAAATTTATGATTAGTTTGAAACACTCTGTGAACTATAGAGTGGGTATGGTCCTTTACAAAGTCAACTTGTGTTATCCCTAGAAATTATGAAACTAATTTAATATTACACTCTAGGCTAGGATACAAGTCAATGATACTAATGTGTTATGGGAGTCACTCTAACAATAAGATGTATGGTGATATGTGTTCCAGATTATACTTGGGTATTCTTACAGGAGTTTCAATCACTCAGTTTTCCAAAAAAAAAAAAAAAAAAAAAAAAAAGTTCAGTCTCCCTTCTTGGTAGCAAGTTTTATTCCTCTAGCTTTTCAGGGAACATGATAATGAAGTATTCCACTCTTGTGAGGCTTTCTGTTGAATTCAGAAAGAGTAAAAAAAATATGGAGGGATACTACTATTTCAGCCCAGGTACACAGAGGACGGCCTGTGACAGACTGTGATGATCCCCCATGTAAGGCCTCACTGTCCTTGGGGAGCGGGTGAGGAGTGGGTTAGGGGGTGGTAGGGGGCATGGGAAGATGGGAGGGAGAAGGAACAGGGAATTGATATGTAAAATGATTGTTTTTAAATTAAAAAATACATGTAAATAAGTGCTTATGAATATAGATTATTCATAATAAAATAGAAAATAAAGAGAGGAGAAAGTGGGAACAAATAGAGAAACATGTGAGATCTTTTCCTTTCTCTATGGCCTTGTTCTGGTACAACCTTCTGAATTCTGAGAGTATGGTTGAGTTCTTCCAGAGGAAATTCAGTGAGAGGTTGGAGGGAGAGAAGAGAAAACCTTTCCATTTTGATAATGTAATCTGTGCTAATAAGTTTTAAATATAACAACACTTTATTATGGACATTTTAATTCTTATAGTCAATAACTTCATATCATTAACATAATTTAAAAAAGATGAAATAATTCAACATATTTTTAAATATATATATGGTTAGAATACATGTGGACTCTCAGGTAGCCCCTCACTCATCCTTTTACTTATTGATCAATTTTCCCTAATATATAACTTGTTTTCCAATATTCTCATTTATCTAATTGAACACAGTCAGAAGAACACTCAGTTTTATGCTACTAGAATCATCTCAAGAATGTCCACTATCAGACACATTTAATTGTTTCATATATATTAGTACGGAAAAGAATTTAAAAAGCAATATTTAAATAGTTGTAAGAAAAGCACAGTACTTTTCACACACAGCTGGTATAAATACACACTTGAAGGAGAGGGCTTATAGATTCAAGATACCTTTATTCAGATAAATACCAGCCAAACGTAAACAAGAGCATCGAGGCCAGGGAGTAGGTGCAGCAGCAGAAGAGAGTGGTCCTTAAGAGCCCATGTCGCGTCACTCTGACCTCAGCTTGACCACGCCTTGACAGGCGTGGTCAGGCACACCTGTAGCCAGCCCTTAAGAGGCGGGGTTATGGTGTCTCCCTACACAGACTGGTAAAATAAAATACAGAAAGAATGAGAAGGGGAGAAGAGGAGGGATGCACTGGACATGAGAGAGCAGAAAGGTTGAGTCAGGGAAAGAATAGATGATAACAAAGAATGGCGATATCATAATAGAGGGAGACATTTTTGGTTTACAGAGAAATCAGACACTAGGGAATTGTCTGGAGATCTACGAAGATGACACCAGCTAACAATCTAAGCAACGGAGGAGAGGCTACCCTAAATGCCCTCCCCTGATTATGAGATTGATGACTGACTTATATGCCATCCTATAGCCTTCATCAAACTGCTGGTGGAAGTAGAAGCAGACCCACAACTAATCTCCGAACTGAACTGGAACCCAGATGCAGAGAAGGACTAGTGAAGACTACAGGGGTCCAGACCAGGCTGGTGAAACCCACAGAAACAGCTGACCTGAACACTGGGGGAATTCTTGCTCCCCAGACTGATAGCTGGAATACCAGCATGGGCCCGATCCAGACCCCAGGAACATGGGTTTCTGTGAAGAAACTTCAGAAATCTATGGTACCTCCTGTAGAAGTTAAGTACTTATCCCTAGCATAGGTGTGGACTTTGGGAGCCCCTTCCATATAGAAGAATACTCCCTGAGCCAAAACACAAGGGAGTGGGCCTAGGCCCTATCCCAAAGGATAGAATAGACTCGGATGACACCCTATGGAAGGCCTCACCATCCAGAGGGAGCGGAAAGGATTTGTGATAGGTAGGGTTTTAGTTGGGGTGGAGGGTTGGGGAGGATGGGTGGGAGAAGGGAACTGGAATTGTCATGTAAAACAATCCTGTTTCTAATTCAAATAAAAAATGTTGGAAGAAAAAGAATAGAATGCTTTAGGCCATCAGGATTATTTTCTCTTTTTCTGTTCAGTTCTGGAGAGATGGTGCAGTATAAAATTGGTATCCACAGAGTATCTGCTGAATGAATTAATAGAATGTAAGATGGATAATTAGACAAGTAAAGCAAAAGATTAACTAAATTATGCTTTCTGACAAACTCATCCAAAAGGCTAGAAACTACCCTACATGTAAATCTAAGTAATGTAATAACCAAATAAAGTATTCAGAAGAAATGAATCACAACATTACCAGAAACGTCTAACAATTATGCAAAGAATGTAGAATTTGATTTGCAAAAATAACACTAATTGTAATTAACAGTCTTGTAGCAGTGGCTCAAGGCAGTTAGCCTCCCCGGGCATTGGAGGTGCACACCATTAATCCCAGCACTCGGGAGGCACAGGCAGGAGGATCTCTGTGAGTTCCTGGTCTATGGAACCAGTGCCAGCACAGGCTCCAAAGCTACACACAGGAGAGAGAGAGAGAGCACTTCAGATTCAGAAATAACTTCTTTAAAGATCAAAGAAGTATTATGTTATGGGAAACAGTAAAGATTTCTTCCTTCTTACCAAAAACTTTCAGGAACTTACAGTAATGTAGATAGTAAATGTTAATGAGTTTTTATAAGAAAATTTTTGTATGACAAATAAAAAGGAGAGAAAAGCCCTAAAATGGGCAAGCATAGGAAAGGTAGATCTTTAGCAGGTTTCTCCACACTCAATACTTGCATTGCACAAAAGGACGCTGGGGCAATTTTCAAAGAATTCACTTGAAAGGGATAAGATCTCCTAAGCTAATTGGGAGCATTGGGGGAGTGGAGGGAGTTAGAAGAAAGAGGAGGGGAGAGGAAGAACATGAGGGAGTAGGAAGATGTAGTCAGGAGAAGAATAGAGGAGAGCAAGAAAAGAGATACCATAATAGAGGGAGCCATTATAGGTTTAAAGAGAATTCTGGCTGAGAGAGTATCTATCCCTCTATGTGGAGAGGGCTCCCAAAGTCCATTTGTGTACTAAATACTGATCCACTGTGGCCCCATAGATTTAAAGAGAATTCTCTCTCTCTCTCTCTCTCTCTCTCTCTCTCTCTCTCTCTCTGTCTCTCTCTGTCTCCTGTGTGTAGCTTTGGAGCCTATCCTGGCATTGGCTCTGAAGACCAGGCTGGCCTCAAACTCACAGAGAATCCTGGCACTAGAGAAAGATCCAGAGATCTACAAGATTGACCCCAACTAATAATCTAAGCAATAGTCGAGAGGCTACCCTAAATGCTCTTCTCTGATAATGAGATTGATGACCTCCTTATATGCCATCCTAGAGCCTTCATCCAGTAGCTGATGGAAGCAGAAGCAGACACCCACAGCTAAACACTGAGCTGCACTCTGGAATCCAGTTGCAGAGAAGGAAGAGTGATAAGCAAAGGTGTCAAGACCAGGCTGGAGAAACCCACAGAAACAGCTGACCTGAACAGGGGGTTGCTCATGGACCCCAGACTGATAGCTGGGAAACCAGCATAGGACTGTTCCAGACCCCCTGAATGAGGAGGTCGGTTTGGATGTCTGGACAATCTATGGGGCCACTGGTAGTGGATTAGTAATTAGTACACAAATGGACTTTTGGAGGCCTCTCCACATAGAGGAATACTCTCTCAGCCTAGGCACACTGGGGAGGGTCTAGACCCTACTCCAAATGATATGACAGATTTTGAAGATCCTCCATGGAAGACCTCCCCTTCCTGGAGAGCAGTAAGGGGTTGGGACAGGGGGTCGGTGAGGGACAGGGGAGGAGGGCAGGGAGAGGGAACTGAGATTGATATGTAAAAGAAGTTTGTTTCTAATTTAAATTAAAAAAAGAAAATTAGGTTCAAAAGAACTGTATTCTTTCGCACCCTAAATCAGCAGCAACAACAAAGAACAATGAAATAGAAGCAGAAAAATACTGGGCTTTTTCAAACAAAATTAAAAATTTGTTGCTAGAAACCAGAGGATGCGAAGAATGAGCCTATTGCATTCTTTAGGACAAATGGAAAAACGAGCAACTTTGAGAACAAGGTAAGGACAAAGCTACAGATAAAGACTTTTTTTTTAAAGGGGACAGAGTATTTAAATACACACATATTAAAAGTTTGGGGAAATGGAAGTGTTCTGATATGTTATAAACTGTCAAAGTTAATTCAACAATAGGAACAGTCAATGGCCCAGTTGTTGTTGTTGTTGGGGTGTTAGTTTTACTGTACACTCAAATGAACTCATAAATACTACTTAAGCTCCCATATTCATAAGAATATGCCACAAAACTGTTACAGCCAAAAAATAAAACACTAAGTTCTCATGGAGCTCAGTGTAATGGATGGTGGAACAATTGTCATTATCCCACTGTGCATTCAGTGGTCTGAGGGGACTGCACAACATTTAGCTCTATATAAAAATTATTCTTAGTCATAGGTCTTGAGAAGGTAACTGTGGAAAGTTCTAAATCATCACAGAAGTTGAAGTATGATTTTCACCACAGTCACTTTCCTAAGCCAATGTAGTTTATAAACTCATTTTAAATACTTATGCCCACAGATATGTGTAGATCTCACTTGTAGCACAATTAATAAAAACCCAGAGATGATACTGGGGTTAAAGCTGAGTTTTTATTATTCATGTTACATGCAGTCCTCATCAAAGACTGTTATTTTTCAAACAAATGAAGACCATCACAGAAAGAAAAAAACTGCAAAGAACAGCTAATTGTGGAGTGCCCAGCAGCAATTGATATGTCTGCAACACAACTCTTAACACCAGATCAGTACATTTTACAGAAGAGGGGTTGGGAAGATTGCAAAAGCCAGAGGCTGGAGATATCTGTTCTGAGATAATGTCATGTCAGGGAAGCTGTACCCATGAATCTCAGCAACATTGTTGCCTAAAAAAGTGATGACACCTATTGAGGTGCTAACATGCATGTGGGGAGTGTCGTCTGGTCCCACCCCTCGATGAAGACAAGGAAGACTCAGTCTTCCTCAGGGATGATCTCGAAGAGAAGTTATCTAAACACACATAAATATGAGCAACAATGAATGAATTCATCAGGTTGTTTTCATAAACTTATACAACAATAAAGAAAAAGGGGTCACAAATTTGAGAAATGGGAGGTACATGGGAGAAGTTAGAGGAGAGGGAGTAGAGAAATGATGTAAAAACAATATTCGTATATAAAACTCTCAAAAATAAACTACCAAAGACTATTTAACCTTGAAATAATAAAAGAAACAATAAGAAAGAGTATTTAAGCATACTTTGGGTTTTATTTATTCAAATTTATTAATATTTCATAATGCCTTTCTTTCATACTTGGGAGGGCTTGGTGACTCTAAAATAGTATTTACTGAACATTTTTTTTTTCCTCAGGAAAGGTCTCATTATGTAGTCTTGGTTAGCCTGCAGCATGCTGGCCTTGAACTCACAGAAATTGGCCTGACTCTTCCTCCCTAAGACTGTATTATGAAGTCAAACAAATGGAGTGTATTTTAATGTTAAATATATGCTTAAAATAAAACAATACACATATTTTATTTGAACAGATGTTAAAGAATAGCCATGGAATCAAATGGATCTGAGAAACTTGTTCATCCTTATTAAAAATTAGATTGAGGCAATCTAATTAAACCCACAATGAACCTATGTTTACTTTCTTGATCCTTTAATATTATAAATATTTTAATATGTTATGTTTGTCCAAGTATATATAACAAGTAGCCTCATGCAATCTAAGCAGGAATATGGACATGCACTTGCTTCAGAGAGTGTGTGGGTAGTCACTATCAAAAGTAAATACAAATTACTTTGGTTTAGTGATGTTCTTTACTTTCAATATTTTTTATCTAGATCTATGTTAATAGGTACACAGAACCATAATAATGATGTTGATTGTAGATTTTTTTTTATAAAAGCACAAATGACCATAAACTCAAATATTCACTAGTAAAGGAAATGTTAAATATGCATTGTCTTTTATGAATATAAAAATTTTTAACTTCATGTAAGTCCTCGTATAAGACATTAATGCATAAAGAGTATTATTCATTACATATGTAAGAATTTTCATTTGCATAAAAACCATCTGTTTATATGAGTTCCTATACAAAGGTATAATTGTTCTTACTGCATATCTTAACATTTCCTACTATTTTCTCTTTAAAATATGATTGCACTGAGTTTAAATAGATGTTTGTCGCTTCTATGCATACAAATCAATCAGTATTTTCTTTCTGATTTCTTTTCCTATTATGATTTGAAAATTATTTATGGGGTGTGCTTTTATAAATATATGTGGACTTTCTTACCTACTATAACTTCAGCATTTAGTTAATAACACTCTATAATGTTACTTTAAAGAAACAACATGATGTTATATTTCACCTTCTTTCTTCCTGAAACTGTTAATCATCCTTCCAACACAGTTTACTGCACAGTGTATCCTTGACTCATTAGCATTAACTCACACCTTTGAGTTGTAATCAATACAAGACAGACCATGTTTCTGGTTTCATTCTGTTTCATTGCTGTAGCTGTCCTTTTCTGTGCTTCACATCACACTACACTCAACTAACACCTTGTCAGTCTTTGCGATATCTTTGTTTTGTTTTTTGAGTAGTGTCTCCTCCACCCCATGTACTTTATGTCAACATTGACTGTCTACCTCTATCACTTTTTTTGTTTCTTGATTTTTTTTTCTGAGACAGGGTTTCTCTGTATAGCCCTGTCTGTCCTGGAAATAGAATGTGGACTAGACTTGTCTGTAACACACAGTAATTTACTTGCTTCTGCCTATCTTGTGTTGGAATTAAAATGATGCACCCATCATGCTCCACAAACTTAGGTCTTCCTATTTACATAGCAAACACTTTACCCATTGAGCCATGTCTCTAGGCCTGTACTAGATGATTTTACAGAAGAACTTTTCAAAGAAGACCTTAAAAACACTTTGTCATGTTTGTCTTCCAAGGGAAAAAATGACAAGTAATCAAATTTTCTTGAAATTTAAAAACAAATCTGGAAAGAATCAAACATTAAATATTTGGACTATATTTTTATTAATTTAAATGCATTTTAATGCTTCTTGTATAGTTTAGTGTTTTTTGAATTGTGAGTCTCATGTTCTTGTTTATTACTGAATTATTTGCAATTATGAAAGGAACCATTCTTCTTAATGATTACACTTGCTGCTTAAGAAAAACACTGATTTTTATCATGTACACTTTATATGAACTTTTAAATTTATGGTGTCTGTTATGGTTATCCATTTGGTTCTTCTGAGTTTTCAGGGAGACTAGGGTATCAATTTAAACTGGCCTGTGTGACAGATATGCTTGCAGTGAGTGTTTTGTTCTGACTGTCATAGCTCTAGTGTTCCACATTAAGCATGATACTGCCAGTTGCCTTCCAGACAATCAAATTTGTCTGAGTATAAGACATTGAGATTCTTCACTACTGCCTTCTTCAACAGAGGTCTGACAGCACATCTTTAGATGTGCAGCTTGTTTCAAGCATTTGCCCCCATCCTACTAACAAGCCCCAAAACCTTGATGTTCACCTCAGAATTTTCCAATAAGTTGTCAGATTTCAAGTCACCAATCTATCTTTTTTTGTCTCATTTCACATGTGCTTGAGTCGGCTGCATGGAGATTTTATTTTAGATTCATATTAATCTTCTGCTGCTGTCTGCAGTTTGATCTTAAGCAGAGTATTAAAGGAGACAGGGAACATTTTAAAAGCCTTCCAATGCCAGTATATACAGAACTCCAGTCATTACAACCAATGCAAGACTTGTCTGATATAAATTCAAAATTGATATTCTCTGATGAGTCCTCAGACATCAAGTTCCTTTGAAGTATAAGACAACCCATGACAGAGTCAAATATCATGGCAATCCTGTTTCTAAGGTGACTTTAAGCTATCACACTTAATTAGTTCAGTGGGATTTGGCTCAAGAGTGTTTACTATAGAAATATGTCAAGAAATTCCACATGGTTCCAGATCTTTTTGTCTCATGTTGTTTCTTATTCTCTTATTATTTCTCATTATTTCATTGTCTTTATTCTACCCCAGATGCTTCAAGTTCTACCTTCTCTCCAAGGAAGCTTAAGGGTCCACATTTTAAACACCTATAGATCATCCCAATATAGGTGAAGCCAAGGGACTTGACTTTATATTTTGCTGATGATTTTGAGTATGCTGCTATATCATAAACATGATCACTTTTAAAAATGAAGAATTATAACGGATAAAATAAATTATCCAAGCTGTACTTGCAACAACCAATGATTCCTGTTTTTTTTTTTAGATGTGTCTGTGGTTCCATTATGAGTTATTGTTTTTCAGTAATTCTGTCATATTTAGTACAAACAATGAAATTCAGGAAAAGTTTACTACAGTAAACTACCTCATCATGATTACCAACAAGTTGAAATAGAACAAAATTAGGAATGGGCCCAAAATAAAAGAGAGAGAGAAAGAGATAGAGATAGAGAGAGAGGGGGAGGAGAGAAACTTATTAAAACAGCATTATATTTTGGTTGCTATATTTTTACATTATTATAAAATTTAAAACTTAGGTTAAATATATATTTTTACACTCATGATTGAATACACAGGGACTGGAGAAACATGCAGAATGGGTTAAAGTGCAGCAATGTTTTTTGTTTAATCAAAAATTTATAACTGAGTCCTGAACATTTTGGGAGGCAGAACCACGCTTTTGCCAATAGTTGATTTTATTCATCCTCATGGCTTGTTTTCAGCCTGTGGCATATAGTATCCTCCTCTGACCTTGTGATTTCCAAGGTCTCTATGTTGCTAGGTCAGAGTGCTATATTGTTATTTCCCTGTCTCTGACTACAAAAATTTGACCATGCTTACTTATTTTGTGAGGATCTAGGTTTTGATTAGTTGAAAGCAGATGCCGTGTGACTTGTGACAAAACTCACTGTTCTCTGTTCCTTCCTCAGCCTCTCTAAAGGCTCAAGGAGACACTGGATGTTCTTGGGAATCAGCTTCATCAAAGGGTTCAGTTTTTTCATGTAAAAAAAATCTAAGTGATTGGTCTCACCCATTTTTTTCATCGTGTGCCACAGGTTGCCACCCTGACAAAGATTCCTTCCCTGAAGTGTTCCCTTACGTGACCTTAGCAGACAGTAAACCAGGGTATTTGTGACTTGGCAGAGTGAGCATCCCGTGGGGATGGAGGCAGAGTATGTATCTGGAACAGATGTTTTGGGTTGCTTACAGTCTCCAAACTCTTGCGGCTTTCAGGATGCCCTGCTGAGTGAATGGTAACTTTGGCAGCACATTTTGCTTCTATTAGCTAATCCAATGGGTTGGGGAGACACCGAGGGAATAAGAAATCTGCGAATGCTGTCCTCAGCATCAGTCACACGTGGAAAACTTCACCAGAGAACCCTCTATGGCATTCTGACCAGATTCCAAGCTATCAGGACCTCCAGGCATGGTGTTGCTGAACACGGGCTAGCATATTTATCTCTCTGTGTCGTTATTGATTGTACAACTTATCTTAAAAGAAGGTCAGTTCAGGCCACTTATCTCTTACACATTTTTTTTTTCCTGTTAGTGGTGACTGATAGACTTGCTCACATATGTGTTGATGCCAGTGGCTTTTCTAGAAAGGAATCCCATCCCCGCTTAAGGAGCTGTATGATAATAAACAGGATAAGTAGAAGGAGGTCAGTTGTCTGTCCCTAGGTACAGATCCTTAATCTGAAAAGCTCCAGGCAGCTGATTACCCAGGGTTACAGAGATCTATTTGCTAGTTGTGTGTCTCCTCCCCCTCTATTTTCCCCTCTTTTTCCTTTTTATACGTGAAATTTATTTTTCAGTGTGTATCCTTGTGCATCTAGCTTTACAAGTGAATTTTTGGTGTGAGGAATTAGACTTAGCCTGACGCCTTTTCTCCATGTGTAACATCATTCCAACAGGCGTTCAGATAGTGTCTCCGCGAGCTTTAGTCAGTTGTCAGCTCATTTTAAAAGCAACTTGCTAGCTCAGTCTCTCTCTCTCTCTCTCTCTCTCTCTCTCTCTCTCTCTCTC